TTAATAAGGCCACCTCATTATTACGGCCACTTTATTCTGGGCTGAACAAAGCTCAGAGACTCTTTTTCTTATCTAAAAAACCCCTTTCACATGGCCAGATTTTTGGGGCTTGTTGGTGACTGGAATAAGGGGTTTTCACTGTATATTTTTCAAGGTTGGCTCTCACACTTGGCTAATAAGATAATAAAAGCTTTAGATGTATATATTCTTAAAAAGAAATAAGTAAACTTGATTTTTGCCCTTTTTGATCAAACTTATTTCTGTACAAATTGTGCAATTCAATAATTACAGGAAAATAATAATATTAATTAAATACTTTCAACTGATAAAACAAGGTATCATTTTTTAACATTTTGTTAAGTCTACTTTGATGGCAGTATCACTTAATCTTTTTGTCCACAGTTGAAACTGTATCCTTGAGACTTTTTGAAGGATCACCTTCCTGGAAAACTTTGATCATTTGTTGGCGCACAGTTTCTGTAAGTTCTGGAACACCATCAGCTGTGACACCCTCAGTTGGTATGGGGGACAATACTCTCGCTTTCATGGTTCCTACCAGATGGGAAGTTATAAAAGGTCAGCAAAGGATAATGTCTTGACAAGGAACCCAAGACCCAGCTTGACGCATGCACACTTTTACCTACCCATTAGAATCACGCGTACAACTGTTTATTTCTTCACTGATGTGTCCCATTCAAAACCAAACTTAGCACTGAGGATGGGCTACACCTAGGCCCGAAACGTCTGCCATAAAATTGAGTTTATTTTGGCACTGAATTACTATTGATAACGTTTGAACTGTTTACTGTGCCCCACAGCCACTGATCCTTTTGGATTACCAAATATCTATTTCAACCCAAGACCCATACTGTCACTACTCTGGTTAATAACATTGAAACTCTTCCTGGACTCTGTACTGTTTTCCGCAACTTCCTGGTCCAAGCATTTAATCAGATTACTCCTGACCAGCCTGGCATTTTCTAAGGTGTGTGATACTGATTTAATACACCTGGGTAAAGAGACGCACTGTAAGGGTGGGGATAAAAGGAGTCAAAAGGAAGAAGAAAAGAGGATAGGAGGGTGAAGTTGGGAAATTTTACAGCATTGCATAATGTTAAAGCAAGAGAACAAGCATGGAGAGGCAGGAGCAAAATAGTAGGAAGTGAATTGAATAAGAAGGTGCAAGTCAAGATGCAGGGGTGTGCGGACTTTACCTATCTACCAATAATTTAAGGAAAAACTAAAAAGAAACTTACCATATTCAAATAACTTGTTCTTCTTGTTAAAAATTGAAGAATAATCATAGATAACAATTGGCACAATAGGGAGCTAAACAAAACACGTGCAAAGGTATACAAAGTTAAGCATTTTCCTAATTTTTTTCATTTACACTGCGTAGCTTAATTTTGTTCTCTAATAAATACCGCAGTGTATTGATACAGGGAGGCAATTTTGAGACTTTAAGTCTCAAACATTTGGTTTACATGATCAGCACAAAAATTTACTATTGTCTCAAAGTAGAGTTGATAAGAGTAATGATATCCCCTATTGTTTTTGATTACCACTCTAGCACGAGACCTTTACATTGAAGAGTGTATGGCAAACAAAAGAACAGTCGAACCTTGCTAACACGACTACCTTTGGGTCATAAAATTGTCATCAAAGTATGAAAATGACTATCTTTTCTAGTTAGCCTTTTCTCCAAGCCAAAAACATTGGCTAAAATAACAAGGTGTACTGAGATAAGAGCTCACTATGAAGTGTTTTGTCAAGTTTTCAAACTGATGCTTGGAGCTGGAGGAAATAACAAGTCAAATAAGACTTAACATGTAGTCTTCACCTGAGCTTGCTGGGCTAAGTGAAATGCTCCTCTCTTAAAGGGAAGAAGTGTTCCTGTTTGGCTTCTGGTTCCCTCAGGAAAAATCCAAAGATTTATCTGAAAATGAGCAAATGAACTAAGCTGTATATCCTGGAGAAACAGGTAATTTACTGAGGGCAAAACCATACACTTTCCAAACACTTATGCTACATAAATGTTTACAGTCATGTTCTTCAAATTATGTTTAGTAAGGAAAATGCTCAATGTAGCTTTCTTTTTGTAGTGTATTTAGTTTGCTGTCAAACTTGAGCAGCACACTGGATAACTGATTGATTGCTTTACCCATTGGTTAACTTAGACATGGTGAAGTGAATTTACCTACACTAAATTATAGAATGGATGGCATTCCAATAGCCCTCATTTGTTACAAGCATACATTGCATAACAGAAGACAGGATATATCTTTAAAACAATGGAGTGGTTGCCTTGACCTTGGGGTGGGTGAGTTAACTCACAGAGAGGTGATGTCCAGACATATACTCTCAAGTTACTTGTTGCAGTTTAAAAGGACTTGTGTCACCAGTTTTTGCACTGGAAATCCAAGGCAGGCTATGTGCATGATCACAAAAATTGTTCAAGAAGCTACATGTTGAAAATAATTATTAATAAATAAAAGTTAGTGCCTTACTTATGTGCAAAGTACATGTACCTTAATTAATATGCTCCCCTTGTGTGATTTCAATGTCTGATTTCCTGGCACCAGTTGAAAGGTGGCTCAGGGAACACAGGGACATTAAACTTACACAGTAAGGCACTTTTAAGATGATTTCCACCTGGTACTGCGCAAGTCTACATGTTTGTTTTGATTCATTTGAGACGTCACAGAATGTAATATTTTGCAACTATTCACATGAAGTAAATTCAAAGTTTCATGTCAACTGCCATTATGGGTGCAAAGCTTTATGCTTTGTTCTTTGTGATATAAATAGATGAAAACACTTTGTAGCTGTAAAATCAAAGTCACTGTTGGAAAAAGAATTTAAAATAAAACCCTAACCCTAACCCATAAGGTAAGCGGTTCATAACCAGTAACATCAATTCACATTGTGTAGTTCCAGAAAATATCCATACCTCCCCCACAGAAGGGATTTTTTCCAAGACCCCTCCCCCCACCCCTCTGAAAATTCCAATTAAACTTGATACATTTCTTTAAATGTTTTGGTCTTAGAGAACCCCCCACCCCCCAGGAAGTTCCAATCCCTTCTGTGGGGGGAGTATGGATATTTTCTGATACTGCACATTCCATCCAGTGAGACTTACAAACATTGGGGTACCGAGACTGCACAGTACAGACTGGAAATCATCCTTTACTCAAGAATTCTAGGTTTAATTTGACAAGGAACAACATATTTTTTAATTTTTTACATTCAGATATGGTTTTTGGAATTATCCCTTGTGAAATAGGTACTGGGATCCCACCAAGGTTCCCAGCACTCGCCGGGATCCCGCATCTTCTTTGCTTGAGTAAACGGTCAGTTTCCCTTTTGTTGTTATTTCAGTAAGATTTTCTTTTACTAAAAATGCAGATATCACAAAGTGTTGAGCACAAGAATATTTACATTTCTTTCAACGTAAAGCGTATCATGCCAATTTGTGTACATGAACTTTGGTGTTTTATCTTCTTGCAAACCAAACAACTGTGACTAAATTTTTCTGTTAGCTAATTAATTCAATCATGTTGTTTTGGGTTTTTTTATCAGTCTGTTTTTCTCGCTATCCAGCTGTTTTTAAACTTTAAACTTTGCACCATGAATTTTGCCATAACTTTGTCTTAAATCATTGACGCCACTTTTCTGTGTCACTGACATCTTTAAAAACAAATTTAAGTAGCATAAATCGAACTGCTGTATGGCTATATGTGTATGTTTTTTAATTAAGTTAGTTTTGTCTGTATTTTAAATACTCTCAAGCATGTAAACACTGGGAAGATTTAACCTTTATTTAAAAGATGATGGCTCCAAAAGAAATTTGTGGCAGCATGTCTAAAATTTTGCTGAGATTCCCACAGTGAATCTTGCCAAGAATTTCACTTCCCGCCGCGAATATTGGCAAGATTCCCAGCAAGATCGCGGCTAGATTTTGGCTGTTGGGAATTTGCTTCTCAGCAAAGATCTTGTCGAGATTCACGTTAGGATCCCGGCGTGATTTTGGCTGCTAGGAAATTGCTTCCCTGCAAGAATCTTGGCGAGATTCGCAGCAGGATCCCAGCAAGATTTTGGCTGTCAGGACTTTTGCTTCCCGGCAAGAATCTCGGCAAGATTTGTGGCAGGATCCCGGCGAGATTTTGGCCGCAGGGAATTTTGATCCCGTCGGGATTCCTACTGGGAATAAAAATTCTGGCAGCCAAAATCTGGCCGGGATCCTGGCGGGATTCCTGCCAAGATCTCGGTCCTTATTTTACAAGGGGTAAATCCTATTTTCATTAAATTATATTTATTAAAATGCATCTCCAGTGGGAAAAGTTGCCGACTTCAATGTCTTACCTATTGACTAGAGACAGTACAGTTTTCCCTGCCTACTGGATCCTGATTGGCCAATTCAAATTTCAAGAGCACCAGCCATATGCTGTTCTAAATGATTCAGATTGATGCAACTCAAAGACATGCTGCAGTAGACTGTAGAGATGCAGACCACAGGATTAAAAAACCTATGCTTTCAGAGTTGTCGCATATTGTAGGATTATTCCCTATTTTGCCGCACTCAGTAAATCCACTTAGGTAATTGCATTCCATTGCTTCTCTTCCTTTCCTAATTGTGCATTACACTCCCACCCTGCACCAAGCCCTCCCCTCCCCTATGACAGAATACACGTTGTTACATGTGCGCAGATTTACCTTTTGATCGCAGATCCATTTCGCCGTTTTATCCATTACATTCCTGGCGCTCTTAGAATGCCCTCTATTGATAAACACGATTCCAAAAAGCCACGCTGCAAAGCCAAATACAGGTGCGAACAGCAATTCCTTTTTCGCCAAGAATGTCGTTCTATGTGGTGTCGCCTGCAGTATGACAAACATATCCAAAGAACTCTGATGATTTGCTACAATAATGAAATTCTTTCCTTTGAGAGTGTTAAAAATCTCCATTCCTTGAATTTCGGAACGTATTCTGAACAGTCTAACCAGGGATCTGTACACAACACCGGAACAACGATGAAAGTTCCCTACATCAAATGGATGAAACGCTCCCACAAAGCTGCAACACATTGCGAAGAACATCATCAAACAATTGAAGCTAAAATACTTTGTGCGGAACCGGAAACTTTTCGACTTCCTGTACAGGGCAATGCATCCGATCAAAAGGCCTAGGAGCCCTGATACCACTATTACAACAAATTTCAACTGCCACATAACGTTTTGACGGTGATTCTCGTGAAGGACCCGTGAATGTTCAAAGACATCCCAAGATGCAATGGTTTGTTGAAATCCCAGAAGCTCTCGCGCTCCTCGTAAAGATATAAGTAGTACTTGCTCTGAAAATTTCAGTTCCGAACATAGAAAGGCGTTGTTTTCAGGGAAAGTCGGCGCGAGTTACGACATCATTTTCATCCCCAGTTGCGAATTTGTCGGTTTTAATCGGCTTAGGGAATATCGTTCCAGCAAATATGAAAGAAAAATTGGAAGTTGTTTTCGACAATTACGGACTGTCGTGGTCGGTACTGCAAAGAGCAACGCTTCGCCAGGAGAAGCAATTTTCGATCCAAAAAAGTGTCATTTTGCGATCCGATCGCCAAGCCCTAGCAAGATGAAGCATGGATAAAACGCATAAGTGTTCCAGGAGGGAGATTTTGTTCGAAAATTTCCACGCGTTTCTCAAGAAATGCAAATAGTGACGTCATAAGACGCCATTTTGAAGGTGAGTGCGTTGATTTCTGGGAAGGATTTTTTTCGCATCTTCTCATCCGGGAAACTTGCTTCCTGTGACCTTCATTTTACCGGCGTAAGGAGGACAACGTGGTTTAGTACGCGATTGTCTTTTCTTTGCCAAAACACACTTTTAAACACTCGTTATCGCATAATTGTAATGAGTAAAGACCTCTTGGACTACCCTTTCTGCCATGATGTCAACAAATACGAAAGGATGGTTAAAATTGGCCAAGGAACCTTCGGGTTTGTAGACTGTTCAGTCCGCCATTTTGATAGTTCGACTTTGTGTTGATGGTAAGAATTGTTTTGCAGCGAGGTGTTCAAGGCACGCAACCGAAAGAATCTTAAAGAAATCGTTGCCCTCAAGAAGGTCCTCATGGACAACGAGAAAGAAGGGGTATTTAATGTTCTTGTAGATACATGATTTGCTTGATTTAGTAGTGTTCCGTGCTTGTTTTGTAGTCACTGAACTTTTGGTGTTTTTTGCACCATTGTTCAGTTCCCGATCACCGCCCTTAGAGAGATTAAGATCCTTCAGTTGTTGAAACACGAGAATGTGGTGAACCTCTTGGAGATTTGTCGAACTAAAGGTAGGTAAAAATCGCTGGTCTATCTCAGTTACGTGATCATTATAATGTTATGTAATTGTATGCAAGGAAGTGACAATGCAGTTAAGGCATTGATGACATATTGTAAAAACTGATGAACACTTCTGTGGGGTGGAGAGCCTGTTATACATGTTCTTTACTTTGGTGCTTTGCTTATTCTCAACTTGAAACTCAAATATATAATACCTGAATTGTAGAGACTACCTTCTCTAGTAAAAGAGTTCTAGTAATAATGGTGACCTCTACAGTACTGGTGCAGTACTCTACCAACTGGGTTATCAAGCCACACTTAATTTGCAACTGCCTAAAATCATGTATGTAACTGTGATGATATATCTTTTTAAGTCCCCCCTGCAGTTCAAATATATATGAGGTTTCATGTGTTCCCTTGCATGCTTTCCCATCTTTGTGTACATTATGAGCTCACAACGTGACCAGCTCCCAGTTAGCTTGATAGCCCAGCTGGTATCTAGAGGACCACTCTAAAATCTCAATGCTCATGGATTTTAAACTTTTTCTTCCCATCTACCCTCTTGTGGATATCATCTTGCTGCCAAACCCCCAAAGGTATGAGGCAGTTTTTCCAAAATCAGCAGATAAAGACTCTTTGCCTGTTGTAATGTTGATGCCAATCTTGTCACAAAAACCTCCATGATGGAGGACCAGCATAATCAAAATGGTTACTATTCTTATACATGTACATTGCTTTGTAATAAATTACACAGAAAGAAAAAAACAAGATTTGCAAAGTCTAGTGTCCAGCAATCTTCACAGGTCCACTCCTTGTGGACCTCTTTTTCTCCTCTTGAGGCATTCCTCAGAAGAAAATGAGAGGCTTCAAAAATATCAAACTGACTTTTGAAGCAAAAATAATGATCATCGCCACAGTTAAAAGGGATTTTTGTGGTGAATAATTCAATCACTAAGTTTACAAATGTATGTATGACTATGCAGGTATTTTTTTTCACTGACTTCTTAGCTTCCAGCCACAAAACAGTCCATGAAATAAACCTTCTGAACTAAATTAAAATAACGTTTCCAGGTTGAAGCTGCCTGATGAGGTTCTGCAGAAACTCAAACTCAAATTATTCAGGATTATTTTCTTACTAGTATACATAGTCATTCTCCAAAAGACCCATTTTTGGTCATCTCTGTATATCGCAAAAAGGAATAGCTTAAATGATTCAGAACAACATCCAACAGACCAATTCTCTGACATTTTTTATGTTCCTCCATATTTCTTTGTGTCGTTTAATTTGTATGAAACGGAGTGTACAAGATTTGAGTCCTTAAACTGAACTTTGTGCGGTGGCCTCATGGTTAGCGCGCTTGACTCCTGAATGAGTGGTCCAGGTTCGAGCCCTGGCGGGGAACATTGTGTTGTGTTCTTGGGCAAGACACTTTACTCTCACAGTGCCTCTCTCTACTGTGTACAAATGGGTACCGGCAAATTTAATGCTGGGGGTAACTTTGCAATGGACTAGCATCCCATCCCAGAGGTAGTACAAATACTAATTGCTTCATGTACAGAAACCAGGATAAGCTCTGGCCTAATGGGTGATTTGGCTTGTATGCAGACTTACCTTTTATGAAGTGAAATGCTGAACAATCTGACACAGACTAGTGATAGACAAACTTGTGTACTTGGTCATTGCATAGTATTGTAGAACAACTTGATTTAGATCACTTCTAATTAAATACTTAAAGCTATTTGTTTTTCTATTTTGTCTTGTAGCATCTCCTTATAATCGCAATAAAGGAAGTATCTACCTTGTGTTTGAGTTCTGTGAACATGACCTTGCTGGCCTTCTTAGCAACCACCAGATCAAGTTCTCATTGTCGGAGATGAAAAAAATGGTGCAAATGTTGCTGAATGCACTCTACTTCATTCACAGCAATAAAATACTCCACAGAGATATGAAAGCTGCAAATGTTCTCATTACTAAGAATGGTGTTCTGAAACTGGCTGACTTTGGTCTAGCTCGTGCTATTCATCTTAACAAAGAGCAATCTCAGCGTTACACCAACCGGGTAGTGACCCTTTGGTACAGGCCACCAGAGCTTTTGCTAGGGGAAAGAAATTATGGCCCTCCCATAGATCTGTGGGGGGCAGGCTGCATTATGGCAGAGCTGTGGACACGAACTCCCATCATGCAAGGAAACACTGAACAACACCAGTTGACTCTGATAAGTCATCTATGTGGCTCCATTGCACCTGATGTGTGGCCAGGGGTGGAAAAACTGGATCTGTTTACCAAGTTGACCCTCCCGCCAAATCAGAAAAGGCGTGTAAAGGAAAGACTACGCAGCTATGTTAAAGATCCCCTTGCTCTAGACCTGATTGACAAGATGTTGACTGTTGATCCAGGGCAAAGAATTGATGCAGATACAGCACTGAATCATGATTTTTTTTGGAGCGATCCCATGCCGACTGACCTCACACGTACATTGAGTTCTGTAAATACGTCTATGTTTGAATTTCTGGCACCACCACATCGTGGGAGAGGTCAGGTACAGCCACAAGCTGCTGGGCAGGCTCGTGTGGGTCCAGCAAATCAGGCTAATGTTCAGAGTGGCACATTTGACAGGGTATTTTAAGTTTAAATTAACATTCACTTGACATTTTTTTGCATGCAGAGAAGTATATACTGTATTTATACTTGAATTTATAGCAAAAAAATAGACTGAAAAGTTCAAAAAAGAAAAAAAAAAAGAAAAAATTGTAAAAAGCTAAAAAACAAAACAAACAAAATACAAAACGAACTTACTCCTAAAAAACTTTAAAAAGAAGCAAAAAGAACAAAAATATGAAGGTCATATGCTTTAATTTTAAGGCTTTGTTTCTTAAATCTACCGCATTGATTATCAATGCTAAAATACCTTGCCTTGGTTTTGGGAAGGCTTGGTACAGTTTTGTAGTTCTGTTGAAAGTCAATTTGAAGAGGATAGCTTGGACTGTTAATTAATTAACCTGTGGTCATAATCAGCTACAGGTCAGAATGCTATTGGAAAATTGTCATAATTTTGGGTATATGTACACTGTACAGAATAGAGTAAAATAGTTGTTCAGGCAGAAGTCATGAAAAGTTTTGCCAGACTTCTCATGCAAGGCTGTATCATTAGCCAAATGCATATCTGTTAATTTTAGTGTTAACAGAAAGCACTCGTCTGGTTCTTATCCCGACACTAATAATTTCGGTTGTGGTGAGGGAGTTTTATAGGTAAGCTAACAGCACTATTTTTGAAGGCGTCATTCAGTTTTCGTGAATTTTATTTTTCAAGTATTGCTTTGAGAATCAGGCATTGCTGCTATAAAGTGTTTTTTGTAATGGCAGTATTTCTCTCAGAATGGCATGTGCCAAAACATGATCAATTAAAGTGGATAATTTAATCAAGCCAGTGTAGTGATATGCGGTGAAAATATCATGTTTCATTAGTTTGAATATGGACAGTTACCATTTTATATAAATTGATATCTTAAAGATGTATGTCGCTGCCAAAAAAAAAAAACGAAAAAAAACCCAGAAAACATTGTCCAGGTAGATGGATAAGTGCCACTGATAGAATAAGATGTGGTTGTACTAGTAACATAAAAAAACTGTAGTAATAAATAAACAAGGCATAACAGTTGTAATTGCATTGATGAGGTTCCTTAGTTGATAATGATTCCTTAGTTGCTGTGATTCCAGGTAATGCTATGCCAGTTTTTGAATAGTCTGAGCAAAATAATGTGCTACACTAATTCATCAAGCCCTGGTTGTTCAAAGGCTGGATAACGCTATCAGCTGGATAAATCATTATCCAGTGAATAGCGTGGTTTGTTTTGTTAACGCTTATCTGCTGGATAGTGATTTATCCGGTAGATTAGACAACTCTTGAACAACCTGGGCCAGTACCACTTCATCACCCAGCACAAGGCATCCATTTCTTCAGGCTATTGTTTTGTAAAAAATAAATAAATAAATAAGGATTAGGATGATCAAAACCCTTCAGCACTTGAAAGATAACCAAACTTTCTATTTGTGTTTCCTCCAGTACAAAAAGTTACTGAACTGTCTAGCTTACATTTGATTTGGGACTAGTCTGATGCACTCTCTGACTGGGGCACAATGTTATCCTATTTAGTAGGTCCATTTTCCTGATTTCTATTCAGGACCAGTAGGAAGCACATGACACACAGCAAATTCAAATGTCCAGAAACCTGTTTTTATTTGATCTGAACACTGTTTTCTGCATGGAAATAGATATCTTTATGGCAGCTAGACAGGGTCTGTCCACTGTCAAAACACTTATCCAAAATGAAATGGTATCCTAGGTAAGGTTTTTCTTTATTTTTTACTTCTCCAAGAAGTTACTGAAGAACTGTTTTGCCAAGCAACTCTTGCACAAGGTCATGCAAGTTGCAAGTGATAGTTTTCAGTCCTTTGCATTTTGTGACTGTGGCATGTCACTGGCGTGTCTGGCAGTGTCAGTTGTCTTGATAGTGTCTGATGTGCACACCCTCATCTGTTTGAAGATGTCTGTAAAAGAACTCGAGAGGCTTTGCCCATTGTCATTCCGACTTCAACCTTCATAAAGTTACCCCATACGCCTGTTCAGGACACTCCTCCATAAAAGGACACTAAGCAATCCAGTGCATCATCATCGTCGGACCGCTCTGGAGTATCTAAATTTGATTGCTGAGAGGTTACATGCACCAGTGCCAATTCATTCTGCTTAGTACC